CGTGTTTAGTTACTTCTTATTGTGAGTTGTACCCAGCATGCATGCATGCATGCAGTTCGGCGGGGTAATTAAATAATGTACAACTATTAGTTTGCAAATTGTTAAGAAGCGTTTGTTGTGGGTTATTGTTGTAAAATGTTATGACTCAATCTCAACACACGACACAGAAGCTCCGACCGCTCCACACTTTGAGACGTGGTGTAAAGATAAATTGTGCTGCCTACCGAATAGCAATATCAGTTGTCACGGCTGTATGATGGTGTGTAAAAAATTCATACCGTAATTTGAATATAACGGTGTAGCGCTACCACTTCCACTCCTTTCAGTACTTGAAGTTATCATCAGTCGAAACGTTCCGGTTAGTTCACTTTTTATACTTGTCACATCTTCTCACATTTAACACTCGTGTCCTCATCACCTCTTCAACTGAAACTAATAATTCACCATCCACACAGTAAAGTAGTATAATTAAATTTCACTTCAACTCCTTTTTAGCGCTTAATTTCCTCAACTCTTTACTGTCATTCAAAGACGATTTTTTAAACTATAACTATATAAAGCATGAAAGTGTCTTAGCCGCTAGAATGCTTCAGTTTCATTCACGTAGTTCCTTAGTTTTCCCAGTTTCTTTCTACTGCCACAGATAAAACAAGCGGCTGTATAGTCAGAAAACATTCCTGTCCACTCAGCAGAGAATAAGATTGATTTTGGCTCTGAGGTCATTGGGTTCTGAGATGGAAACACGCTGAGGTTCAGGGAGGAGAGCTATAAATGCCATGGTCCTGTAGTCTAGGCAACCAATGGTAGCCACTGATCAGGCCACCACTGAATGAACTGGACTGAAACTGAGCCAACTGGCCCAGTGGGTACGGTAGGTAGGAGAATGGTAGAACTGGACTGGTCACTGGAGTCTATGTTATAGGTCTGGGTTCTTGGTCTAGATGTGGGTCTAGTTTCTTGGTGCAGAAATAGGTTCTGGGACTTAATGTTAATGTGTCCCATAGAATCAACGTGCCCCTTCCTCCTGCTGGTGTTGAAGGAGCAGCTGCAGGAGCTCCAAACTGCCCTCCTGGCCTCCATCCTAGACATGGATGAGTACAAGAAGGCCTCCTCATCCGGAGGGCCGACTTCCCCTCTGGAGTGGACCGACGGGCTGCTGCTCCTCCACAGCTGTCCTCCTCCTCTGGACCAGCACCTCCTCGGACTGCTGGGACACTCAGCTGTAAGACTCCTATAGTCTCGCACCTTCTTTTCAAACCCTGAAATATCTCAACAAATTCATCTCCTTCAGATGACAAACAACCATAAGAATAAGAAGACAATCCTGGGCTCTTCTGGTCTGCAGCAGCTTCCAACTAGGTAACAGGACCGGGTCCAAAGACCGTTAGACCTGAACCAGGTCAGACGTTCAGACCAGGACCAGGTCAGACTTTGAACCTGGATTAGCAGCTACAGTAACATGGACAGCATCAAACTCCTTTTGTTCTACAGGTTGATCCAGTATCCGGCGGCGCCCTCTAAAGGCCGCATCACGGTGACCAAAGAGGACCTGGCCTGTCTGAGCGGGGGGGAGTTCCTCAACGACGTCATCATTGACTTCTACCTCAAGTCAGTCCCTCTTAAAGACGTTCTACCCGCCAGTCACCGCTGCCTAGTCACAGTCTTGAGCTGAGTTCTCTTCCGGTAGGTTCCTGCTGCTGGAGGGAGTTGGCGGCGCGGTGGCCGAGCGAAGTCACGTCTTCAGCAGCTTCTTCTACAAGCAACTGAGCAGGCGTCGAGTCGCCGGAGAGGACAACACCCCCTCCGTCCCGTAAGAGAAATCGATCCATGTATTCCTCCTCAATCAGCTGCTGGTGAATGGGGTCAAAGGTCATCCAGTCCTCCATTGTGTGTTTACTTTTATTCAGTCCATTTATCACATTTCAGTCAGTTGCCTTTTGATGATATTTTGGGGCCAATCAGGTTATTTCTTTTTAGGTTTTACTTCACTTTGATGTGAATTTTCTTTGTCTCACCATGTTTGATCTTCAGCTCATAATAGAACACGTTTACCAGCTGGTTCACCTCAAATAGTGACTCTAAGCAGACAACCCTCTTATTTATATCAGCTCACAGGAAGTCATAATTCTTCTTTTCCTATGATAAGCAGTGTCTTTGATCACTGTGTCTCTTCTGCATGGGTCGTCTTGCGTCTCCTCCAGCGATCTTCACATGAGGCACCAAAGGGTGAAGACCTGGACCCGACACGTCGATATTTTCACCAAAGACTTCCTATTTGTGCCTGTCAATCAAGAGTAAGAACGCCTTCTTGTGGCTCTGTGCCCCTCTACAATAAGAGACTGTTGTACTTTGATGACTGCTGGTTGTTTACAGAGCCCACTGGTACCTGGCAGTGGTCTGCTTCCCGGGTCTGGAGGACGTTCAGTACCAAGCGTTCCGGTGTGCAACAGGTGAGCTCCTTTCCACTTCCTGTTTCACCTACATGTAGGAGTAGAGTAGAACATGAAATTATGGAAATGTTATCCTCTGAGAATACTGAGAGAGACGTCTTACTTCTTATGTGGAGGTCTTAGACACATTCAATATTTTATTGTGAAGGAGCTCCAGGAAGCAGATTCCAGGTTGTTTTTGTTTGTGTCTCAGGTGGATCGAAGCTTACAGCAGGTAAAGCGTCGTCTTTGAGTCTGAGACCACAGCAGCCTCCGGTAATTATATTGTTATTCTTAGTTTAATAACTATAATTAGTACTTTTATCATCAGACGGTTATTGATGACGTTTGATCTAAAGGTGTGTCTTTTATTTTGAAGGAGTGCACTGAGCAGAGCTGGCAGAGGGACATTGTACTGAGGAGGTGAGTGACGAGACTAATGGCACACATAAATAAATGTTGAATGAGCTTCACCACCTCTTCCTCCTCGCCACTCTTCCTCGCTCCTCATCCTCCTCCTCAGGCCCTGCATCCTGGTCATGGATTCTCTGAAGCTCTCCTGCCACGAGAACGTCTGCCGCCTCCTCAGAGAGTCAGTCCTTCTCCTTGTAAAGTCTACCATGTTGCATTGTGGGAGTGTCAGGTGGGTTAACTGTCCCTGGTGGTCCCCAGCTACCTCCAGGTGGAGTGGGAGGTCCGGAGGGGGACGCCCCCCCGCCGCTTCACCTCGGACAGCATGAGGAGCTCCAGCTGCAGAGTCCCTCAGCAGGACAACAGCAGCGACTGTGGAGTCTATCTGCTACAGTACGCCGAGAGCTTCCTGCAGGTAACCTCCGCCCTCACAGCAGAGCGACCAGAGCTCGCACCACGGTTTTGTGAACGCACCGTAATGCAACCGCAGCCCGTCGCTCTCTACAGGCTTGCGTACGCGACACCGACGTGTTCCAAAGCGCTGTCTGTCCTCTGCTGGGAGCGGCCGTTTGGCCCCGGTGGACAGATGAGCACGCTCCCACCAGCGGACACAGAGCGCACGTCCTGAACGACTACCCCTTGTGGACAATATTAAACGTTAATATAAACGCCTAATTGAATTAGAGGGGGAACTCTCTTGGGGAATGCTTTGAATTGTCATTGTTAGTTTAAATACTACATTTTTTCACGCCCAGATTTCACAATTACATGTTTGGTCATGGACATTCTGTTTGAATTGATGGAAAAGTCATGGATATCCATTGGTCAAAATGAGTATGTACCCTGCCATACTTCTACCTGCTGCAGTACGTCGAGAGCTTTCCACACCTGGTCCTTATTTTAGCCCCTTCAGATACCACACTTCACTAAATAATCACAACAAGCGCTTCCCGTCTCCCAAATCCATCCCTCTGATTGGTTCCACAGAACCCTGTGGTGCACTTTGACCTCCCACTGAAGTTGGACCGCTGGTTTCCACGGCAACAGGTGCGGCAGAAGCGCGAGGAGATCCGAACCCTGATCCTGACGATGCACCGGAGTCAGATGGGAGAGAAGTGAATCCCAAAAAAATAACACATCAAGCCGTTAATTCTGTGCAATAAATAATTTATATTTTCTATTTTATTCAAATTATTTTAATTTGAAGGATTTCAAATGTTGCTTTAAAAATATTTTTTAGACTAGTTTTTCTTTTGTGTGCAAATAAATAGCTTTACACTGAAAATAAACTGATAATTCTGATTATGTGACCGCAGTCTTTTTCAGTCTATTGTGAAACTTTAAACGGGATTTCAATTTACCACTGGAATGGAATTGAATCTTTACTTTATTGCAGTAAACATTCAATTCCATTTAAAGAATTTCAATTCGCAATTTCAATCTTTTATTTATTACTGTGAAAGTGAATGAAATGTTAATACATCTCTACCTCATCAATTATATATTTCTCCTCCTGTTTTCTTAAATAAACCATATTTATTTACTCATGTCTCTTAATTTGAAACCAATCTGAGGCAGGAAGTGGAAGGATTTGTCATCAATTTCTAAACTGCTTCATCATTTTAATTTTGAATGAACTCTGGGTGTGATTCTTTGAGAGCTTCCAGTTAATTAATAAACGAGATTCCTGCATGATGTACTAATACTACTGGTACCACAAGAAATATTACAGCCGTGGTATTCATTAATAGAGCTGTGAATCTTCCTACTATAAACTTCCCTGTGTGTGTGTGTGTGTGTGTGTGTGTGTGTGTGTGTGTGTGTGTGTGTGTGTGTGTGTGTGTGTGTGTGTGTGTGTGTGTGTGTGTGTGTGTGTGTGTGAGAGATCCCAATCGGCTTGCAGCTCGTTAACTGGATCAGACGTAGGGGGGGCAGACAAAACAGATTACTTGTGTTACCGGCTCTGGCCCATTGGAATAGACCTCTCTCTGGACCAGGTCTGTACACATTCCTTGTTTGGCCCCCTTCTTACTCCGGTCTGGACCCGCTCTTATACCTTTACATGTAATGTAAAAGTAAAGCCCTTCTCTATCTGCTTGGACTCTGGTTCTGGTCCTGGTCTTCAAACCAGTACCGATCCTGTACTGGTCCTGGCCCTGTCATGGACCCGGTTTGGTCCTCTCCCTGTTACTGGTCCTGTACTTTCCCCGGTCCTGGCTCTGTACTGGTCTGGTCCTGGTCCTGTGTGGCGGCAGGTATTGATTGTTCATGTTTTTCCCCGGCAGACATGGAGATCTTTAATCTGTTAATCTGAGCCATGGGGGTCCAGATTAGACAAACTGATTCTCCATGAACCCTCATCCTCCTTCCTTCCAGAAATAATCCTTCCGATAGAAAACTGATCTAGATCCTCAGCAAGACTTAAGAGTCCTGAAGAAAACCTTGTCTGGAAGAGCAGTTTCTTGAGTTTAACTGCTTATTTAGGTTTCCTTTGATCTCCGGTTAATCTTGGTAACACATCAGAGGCATTGTTGACAGTCCGAGTCTGACCAGCGGGAGACTTCTACAAAGGGACACCACTCGGTTATTTTAATAATGTAAATTCATAATGGAGACACTTTGTCTTTAACAGCTGCTAACTGATTAATAAACAAAGATTATGATTTATCTGATAAATTCATCATTTATCCATCTGAACTGGCCTAATTGGAAAATCAACAGTGTTAACTGGTTTGAAGAAAACAAGGCAGCATGGTAACCTTTGACCTTGTCATGCAGAGTGTGACCTTGAAGCGTGCTCAGGTAATCCAGATCAGTGAGGACCACCTGGCCATCTCAGAGGCTTCTCACGTTTCACTCCGTGGCCACAAAGAGGCTCGCAGACATCAGAGCATTATTCAGGAAGTCATCTCAGGGTTTCTAAAATGGATCGTGGTTTTCCAGGTGCACCCTGGGTAATACGCCACTGCAGAGTTGTAATTTACCTTTGATCCAGACTGCTGTCTGAAGCCATTTGGTTTTACTTCCTTAAAGTGACAGGACTTTGACGCTTATCCAGTCCAGTAGATTAACAAATGGGATTAGAACAAAGAGAAGGAGGTCCCATCTGTTCAGAGAGCAGCGAGGAGACGCCGGGTCCTCCTCACACGTCTCACTGGACCTCTGGATGGACCTTTCCGGGAGCTGGGAAGTGAAAGAGACGAGGAGCTAAGTTGTTGAAGACCTGAGAAGCTGAGGAGTGAAGTAGCCGCGGAGCTAAGGAGCATAAAGACGAAAGAGTCCTGCTGGAGGTTCGCGTCTTCTGAGAAATGGAAGGACGGTTGTTGCTGTGGATTCTGGGAGCTGTTATTCTATCAGGAGCTGTCCAATTGGAGACAGGTATAATCAGGGTATAAGTACTACTGACGTGTACTTATAATGTGCTTTTTAGTATAAGTACTACTAACGGATGCATATACTGTATATGTGTTTGTATTGGGGTGTATGTACCACCAACACGTACATAGTACCATAGTTGTATAAGTAGTACTAAAAGGTACTTATGAATATGTTCATATCAGAGTCACAGGTATTTCTCTCATCAGCAGAGATGAGTAGTAGCAGTAAAAGTATTGTCAGTATGACCGGAGTAGTTCTCATAGTATAGCCCTCTGGTTCTCCTACAGATATGGACCCTGAGGAATCCGGTTCTCATCTTCTGGGTCCGGAGGAACCTGGGTCTCATCTGGTGGATCCTGAAGAACCTGGGTCTCTTCTGGAACCGTCCTTGGTTCACTATCAGCTTCTCGATCGAAAAGCTTTAATTCGGAGAAGAAGAGACATTTTGTTTCCCAGCGGAGTAAAGCTTTGTTCTCAGGAGACGTTGCAGCAGGCCGTCAACAACCACCTCAAGTACTTCCAGCTCAGAGGTAGGTCCTGTCCCTGGTCCTGGCTCAGGTCCTGGTCCCAACATCTGACGTACTGTGATTCTTAGTGTGTCAGGAGATGGTGTGGGAGGCCTACAAGGTCTTCTGGGACCGCCTTCCGGAGCAGGTGGAGTATCAGAACTGGGTCGGTCGCTGCATCCACGAGTCCGTCAGCGCAAGGGAGATTGGACACTTCTTCAGCCAATCAGAGGAGCACGTCCGCCTAGTTAGGATTGTGAGTACATATCTATGTGTATATATACATATGTACTGCTTGTCTAAGCTAGCTGCTAGGCAAAGCTGGGTGCTAGACTACTTTTCATCATTTTTTCATCATTTTTCTCCGCCCTCCAGTGACCAGACCACCCTGGAGATTCTATTGACAGCCCTAGTGTGTATATATATCTGTGTGTATATATCTATGTATATATATATATATATATATATATATATATATACTTCCCTGATGTACAAAAAATTAAATATTCTCTTACTCTTATATTAAAAGTAATTATTAAGTATAAAATAGAGTTTGAGTTTAATGTTTACCAAAATGAAAAGCACAGCTTGGTGTTCTTTTATGTTGCTAAATATAAAGAAAATTGCAATTATATATTATATATATGATATTATAACTTACGGAGTGCGTTACTATTCTGTGTTTCCATCCTTCAGAGAGTTTCCATGGAGACGCCGATGAACAGGTATGTTTAAGTGTTTTATTTAACCTGTAAAATTGTTTGAATCATTAAAACCTGATTTAACCCATTTGTTACTATTGTTATTATTACTTGTTTTCTACAATCAAGGTTATTGATTCTGCGTTATATATATATATATATATATATATATATATATATATATATATATATATATAACTAATATATATGTTACATTAAATATAATATGTACATACTGTACATACATACATATTATATATAATGTAACATATATATTAGTAGTTGAGTGACGCCGTTTAACCCTTTGTATGCTTCATCACCTGCTGCAGTGTGAACACCACATCAAAGCCTCCACCATGCAGGTAAGAATGCTCACACCTGAACTCAATAGTGAGCGTATATATATATTTATATATGTGTATGTGTGTATATATATGTGTGTGTGCGTATATATATATATATATTTATATATATATATATATATATATATATATATATATATTTTATATATATATATATATATATATATTAAATATATATATATATGATTGGTTGCCGTGGAAGTCTGGGACAGTGCCAAAAGAGTGGCAGACCTGGGTGGAGGTACCCCTCTTCAAAAAGGGGGACCATAGAGTGTGTGCCAATTACAAGGGTATCACACTACTCAGCCTCCCAGGTAAAGTCTACTCCAAGGTGCTGGAAAGGAGGGTTCAGCCGATAGTCAAACCAAGGATTGAAGACGAACAATGCGGTTTTCGTCCTGGTCATGGAACGACGGACCACCTCTTTACTCTCTCCAGGATCATGGAGGGGGCTTGGGAGTATGCTCATCCAGTCCAGGCGTATGACCGGGTCCCTCGATAGAGAAACTGTGGGAGGTGCTGCGGGAGTACGGGGTGAGGGGGTCCTTGCTTGGGGCCATCCAATCCTTGTACGGCCAAAGCGAGAGCTGTGTTCGGTTGCTCAGCAGTAAGTCAAAGGCGTTTTCGGTGGGGGTTGGCCTTCGCCAGGTCTGTGCCTTGTCGCCAATCTTGTTTGTGGTCTTCATGGACAGGATATCGAGGCGTAGTCGGGGGGAGGAGGGTCTACAGTTCGGGGGACTGCGGATCTCATCGCTGCTTTTTTGCAGATGATGTGGTCCTGATGGCATCTTCTGTCTGTGACCTCCAACTCTCACTGGAGCGTTTCGCAAGTCGAGGGCGAAGCGGTCGGGATGAGGATTAGCACTTCTAAATCTGAGGCCGTGGTTCTCAGCAGGAAACCGATGGATTGCCTACTCCAGGTAGGGAATGTGTCCTTACCCCAAGTGAAGGACTTCAAGTACCTTGGGGTCTTGTTCACGAGTGAGGGGAAGATGGAGTGTGAGTTTGGCCGGAGAATTGGAGCAGCGGGGGCGGTATTGCACTCGCTTTACCGCACCGTTGTGACGAAAACAGAACTGAGCTGGAAGGCAAAGCTCTCGATCTACCGCTCAACCTTCGTTCCTACCCTCACCTATGGTCATGAAGGATGGGTCATGAACTAGGTCACGGGTAAATGGGTTTCTTCAGGAGAGTGGCTGGCGTCTCCCTTAGAGATAGGGTGAGAAGTAGAGCTGCTGCTCCTTTGTGTCGAAAGGAGCCAGTTGAGGTGGTTTGGGCATCTGGTGAGGACGCCCCCTGGGCGCCTCCCCAGGGAGGTTTTCCAGGCATGGCCAGCTGGGAAGAGGCCCCGGGGAAGGCCCAGGACTAGGTGGAGAGATTATATCTCTGCATGTATGTGTATGTATATATATGTGTGTGTGTGTGTGTGTGTGTGTGTGTGTGTGTGTGTGTGTGTGTGTATATATATATATATACATATATATATGTGTATATATATATACATATATATATATATACATATATACACATATATATATATATATATATATATATATATACATATATACACATATATATATATATATACATATATACATATATATATATATATATACATATATATATATATATATATACATATATATATCTGTGTATATATATATATATATATACATATATATATATATATATATATATATACATATATATATCTGTGTATATATATTTATACATATCTGTGTATATATATTGTTGTCTCTTTCACAGCTCGGAGACGGCGAGGACGTCAGAGGCTGGAGGTCCTCAAGGTAAACCCTCACCTGGACATCCCAACCTTGTTCTGTTCATAAGGGTAGAGAGGTCTTTTTCATGGAAGAAAATGTGTAATTTGTTTAATTATTAAGTTTAGTTATGGTTTCATGTCTCATTCATTCAGCTTTTAGTTTGTTCCTCCACAGGAACTTTGCATATACATCCTCATGTTTAACTATTTATTGCATACAACGGCTTTAACTCTATTACACATAGTTATTAGTTTTTAAAAAGTGAAAACAGGAGCCACAGGAAGCGGTTTGACTTAACGTGACAGCAGGAGGTCCATAGTATCTCACCAGTGACCTAATGAATGCCTTCATTGCTGGTTAAAAATTAGGCGTTTGACTGCAGGCAGCTTATCCCTGCCTCCCCTCGACTGATGGAGCGCCGGCGGACCTGAATAGACCTGTAAGCCTATTTAGAGGGCAGCAGTCTGGTCACTGGAGGGCGGAGACGCAACTGACTCTGGGTCAGTGAGGTTACAGAGGTCACCAAGGTCACAGACCGATAAGGAGCAGATCAGTTTGGTTACTGCTAACATGACGACAGAAGTTATCTGTTTCTCAAACGGCTGTATGGGTTTGAGGTCCCAACTTCGCTAGCTCCTCCCAACGATCAGAGGCCCTAGCTCCTCTCATCTGTCAGACATGCTAGTACAATTGAGATTCACATTCATATAAAGTGTAAAGCTTCAGTTCTTCATTTCTAAATGATTTGAACAGCTGGTTGGGAATTTTAGCAGAATATAAAGGAATCAAGGTCATGTGACATGTGACCAGCCATGGAACGAAAAGATATGTGCCTAATGGTTTTGTTCACTCAGCAAATATGACATTTTTATATTGGGTCTATTGGCATGTATAACATATATAAACACTTGAATTAACGCTTCATCCTCCTGAGATGTCACATCAGATGCTGTCACATCAGATGTCATATCATCTGTATCATCTATAAACAGGGGACCTTGATGTTATCGTCGGACCAGACACGATCACAACCAACAAAGACAATCTTCCACCGGGTTTTGAGTTCACTGATCGGATCCCTTTAGAAGAAGCACATATTGGGGACATCGCAGAAGAACTGGTAGACAAAGATCAAACCGTGAGAGAAGAAGTTGAGATCTTTGCTGAAGATGTGGATGCATCTGATTCTGTGGTCAGAACAGAAGATGAGGAGCCTCCATCAGAGGTTGAAGAGGTCCTTACAGAAGATACCATTGTGGTTGTTGCTGAGCCTAATGCATTGAACTCAGGGCATGAAGGTCCTGTGGCTTCATCTGAAACAGAGAGAACTCTTCAGATTCCAGACGAGTCTTCAGATCCACCAGCACCAACCAATGCAATGGGTTTAGATGCTCTTGAGGTAGATATTCTTGAAGTATCTGAATCAAAACCAGCCCTAGAACATCCTTATGAGAAAATTATAGAAGGTAGTCGAGTGCCTTCTCAGGCTTTGGTTCTGACCACAACAGACAAGATCCTAGGAGAAGTTGGTGAAGACCTCGGCCACAAACCAACTCTTATGGATGAGGTCACCTCTGAACCCGTGTTCCTGATTCCACAAGAGGCCATGGATGAAGACACCTCCTACATCACAGAGGAGGTACCTCTGCATACTACGGTGGACGAGGCAGAGGAAGAAGAAAGCGTGAAGCATGAAAAGGACTTGGTTGTTGTTATTGAAGATGAGATGTTGGAGTCCATTGAGGTGAAACCAACAGATGTTACAGAGCTAAAGGTCACTGAGAAAACAACACAAGAACTAGACGTTCAACCCGAGGAGGAAACAGTTACCAGAGAAGATATATTAGAAGATACGGGACGGTTCCCAGCTGAAGGGGAACCAGACGAAGATAGGATGGAGACATCAACCGCTGAAGAACCGGCAGAAAGAGGAACAACTGAAGATGTAGGTACCCTTGAGGCACCTTTAAAACGTGGTGACAATCTAGAGGCAAATCTAACAGAACGAGAATCACAACCCGGTCCAGAAACTGTACAAAAGGTAGAACCTACTGAAGATGTTGCAAAAAAAGAAGAACCCACAAGAGAACCAGTACAAGAATCAGAGCTCGTGGAAAGAATTACAGAAGAAAAGAAACCCGCACAAGAAGCAGAACGTGAAATCGTGTCTGATGAAGATGAAACCCAAGAAGCAGCAGGAGGTGAACTTTTGGAGGTCTCAGAAGAAATTACATCTGACACCCCATTGGTGATATTAGAGAAAGTTTCTGAAACCATCACAGATAATGCAATGCAGGTTACTGAGCATGCAAGTGAAGGTCTAGAGTCCTCATCTTTCCCAGAGGGCCCGAGTGAAACAACTCTAAAAGATGTGACTAGTGAGCATCAAAGGATTGTTACCACTGAGGGGGGAGTGACTGAGGAGGTTCCTTATGAGCTACCTCGCGAGCCTTTCCTGGAGGAGGATGCACCTGGAGAAGACCTGAGTGTTGAGGGTATCTCCTCAGATGTGACGGAGGCTCCAGTAGATGCCATGGAGGTGACCACCAAGTATGTTATTGAGTACAACAACGGCAACTTCCCTGACCTGACGGTGTGGCCTCGTGACGTTGATGACGACCACACCTTGGAGAACGCGGTCAGTAGTTGTATAAGGTCTGTACAAGGTCCGCTTGTCCATGACACGTCGTCATGACGCATTCCTGCTTCTTCAGATTGGTAACGAGATTGAGGCGGAGGCGTGGCCCCCGAGGCCCCTGAAGGAGCACATCGTGGAGCTGAGCCTCAGGTTGAGAGGAGAAACCTACAATGACGCCCTGAGGGACCCCAGCAGCTTCCAGTACCAGCAGCTGGCCAAGAGCTTCACCCGCAGGGTAGGGCGGTCATAGGTCAATACTCAGCACACTGGTTAAAGTTCTGAGGATCAAAGAGTAAAGTTCAAATGACACATTAGAGACTGCAGAGTCAGTAGAGACAGACATCAGGGTTAGGGTTAGTACACCTTAGCTTGAAGAAAAGCTTTGATTTACATTGGTCATTTGGCTGAGGCTTTTATCCAAAGCATCTTACAATACCTCCATACAACCAACAGGGAATCGACTCAGAACAACTAGAATCAAGTACAATTTCTTCAAGAAAGCCAACCTACAACTTGCTAGTAGTAATTCCCATGGTATGTGCCAATAAATAAGAAAATAAAAATATCAGTCGGGATGTTGACGAGTGTTTACCTCTCTGTGAACGAGCAACGACGAGATTAATGCACAGCGGAATGAGCAGGCAGGGACGTTGGGTTGAACCAGGTCCTGGATGTAGACTGGACATGCTCCGTCGGCTGCACAATACACAAGTACCAATGTTTTGAAACGATGCAGGCAGCCACTAGTAACCAGTGAAGGGAGAGGACTGTTAGCGGAGTAGTGTTGGTAAATTTAAGTCAAAGACCAGTGAAGCTGTTACATTCTGGGTGAGCTGCAGATTTCTGATGGAGGAGTTACAATATTCAAGGAGTGAGATGACCAGAACCTCAAGCAGAACTTGTGTGAACTTTCTAAATGAGAGGTTAACAGCTTGTTTCCAGATGCTTTTACTGTGATTATTTACTTTTACTTCTACTTCTCCGTCCTCTGAAATGAAGAATAAAGGTTGTTCCACATTTTGATCCGAGATCTTTCCTCCCTTTCAGATCGAAGAGGTGTTCGAGAGGCTTCCGGGATTCAAGACTGTCTTTGTGGTGGAATTCAGGTGCAGTTGATTCTGACTTCCTGTTGATCCAGCACGTGTTGACCTCTGAGCTCTCTGAGAGTCTGATATGTTGTGTTTCTGTTCACAGGCCTCAGAAGGACCTGGACAGGTCAGAGACCCCTCCGCCCCCCACCACCCATTCACGCTGTAGCAGTAAATAAAAGCTTAGCATCTCAAACAACAGTCAATAAGCTCTGAAGTGAGATAAGCTGCCAAGGGATTACTGATCAACGTTCTGCCTCCTGGGACCCTTTATACTCACCTGAAATGAACAGAGGTGTCAAGTAACGAAGTACAAATACATTACATTACATGTCATTTAGCTGACGCTTTTATCCAAAGCGACGTACAATAAGTGCATTCAACCATAGGGTAGAAACTCAGAAGAACAAGAAACAAGTGCAATTTCCTCAAATAAGCCAATTTACAATTTGCTATTGATGAGTGCCGTTATAAGTACAATTTAAGTGCTACAATTTGTTAGTCTTTTAGTCGAGGTAGAGTAAATACTTTGTTACTGTACTAAGTAGACATTTTGTCTATCTATACTTTACTGGAGTATTTATTTTTCAGACGACTTTTTACTTCCACTTACTTTTCACGCAAATATATCTGTACTTTCTACTCCTTACATTTTAAAAACAGCCTCGTAACTTCCAGCTCGTCGTAGTTCAAAAGCACCAGATAAATGGTGCTATCCGGACAGTGAATCCGATTGTGGTTGGATGAGAGCTATAAACATTTAGCATCCAGACAACCGACACCAGGTTTTCTCCGTGATGCGGCAGGTAGGAGTGACTCCGGGAAAGTGGTCGGTGAAAAATTGGTATTTAGCGACATGGACCACCCTCCTCTTCCTCACGCAGATTATATGTAAGGTCACATGAGTATCTTCATGACCGTGGGTAAATGTTTTTTCTAACTTTATTGAGAGTCTGGCACAACTCAGCGACTTGCAATCAATTAAATAAAGTGATGTGTGTCTGAATGCAGCTTTGGAAATGAACACAAAGGGATTCTGTATTTGCTCATAAAGCCTGAACATACTGGTTATTTGGCCAATGTTTTGATAACCGACTGCTGCCAGTTCAGTGTTTCCATCATTATAAACAGGGGTGCGACCCCCCCATGACGTAGTAAACCTGGGGGAGACACTGCAGTCTACCTAATCCATGCGAACAACGTGTGTGTGACTCGTGTCACTGGAAAATGTGTTGTGGTTTTATCTGTTTAAGTCAGATACATTTGTTGTGTTGGTGTTGTGTCTCTGAATGTCGCCATGTTTCCACCATCCCAACGGCAGGTCACGTGATCTGCAGGCACCTCATGATCACATTGTAACGGACTGACGTGTTGTGTGAGCGAGGTTACGCATTAAGAGTTTGTCCTTAATGGAATTTCTTTTACTTTTACTTAAGTAAAAAGCTTGAGTTGGTACTTCAACTTCTACAGGAGTATTTTTAAACCCTAGTATCTGTAGTTCTACTTGAGTAATGAAGTCAATACTTTTGACATCTCTGGAAATGAACAGCTGTGATTGGTCGTTGCCAAAATCTAACCCTCCACTACTATAAAGCTCTTCAAGTCTGGTCTTCTTCCCTCTCAGGGGTCTGGTGGTTCTGGTCCACTACGTCATCACCCTTGAGGTGAACAGCGACAGCGGAGTCACCAACGACACGCTAGACTTTATCTCTCTTCAGAACAACCTGGTGGAGAAGAATTACCCAGGAGCCGCCGAACAGCCCACCGTTGTCTACACCATCACCGATTTCCGCAACTACATTACCGAGGCTCTGCACAAGGACAACTTCATGAGCAACAGCAGCCTGGAGATGCCGCTGGATGCCCTGCAGGGGGAGAACGGTACCAAGAATAGATTCATAAATATACTGAACCAGGCAAATGTTTGGACACACTTTCTCATTGAATTGAAACTTACTGGTACTTTATACATTTTCTTAATCTGATTTATTTTTTTGTAGATTCCCCCAAACACAAAGAGAGACACAAAATAGATTTTTTTTTAATTTATTGGGAAAGTGTAACGCATCACAGGAGACCGGAGTAGACCCAAGCGCAGAGCGCAGATTTAATGAATAACAGGTACACAGGGATTAGGCTTAGTCGTATCCAGAAGACAGGAGGTCGAAATCCAGGAGCACGGAGATAGGCAAACGTACGAGGTCTGGAACAAAAAGAAGTCTTCAACGAGAGTACAAAACAGGATATCCAAATAACGCTCAGAATGTGATGATAACTACACGAGACTTCGCAAAGAACACAGAGGGATAAGGGGTATATATACAGACCGGCTTGATGGGGAACCAGACACAGGTGTGCAGGGATGAGTGGGCGTGCACAACAGACAGACACACAGCAGAGATGGGGACTCGAGTTTGAGACTCGGACTCGAGTGCGACTTAAGTCCCACACACAGTGACTTCAGACTTGACTTGAGACTCGTCCTCGAAAGACTTCATTGCGAAATGCAATTTTTACGCTCTGCAAGTGAAAAACAAATAGTCATTGCTTATACATTTTGCAATATTTTCTTGATACCCAGAGTACCATTTTTTCAGTTCATAACCTTGTGGTATCAGATGGGCTTTGTTGGACATATAATTGTAAGCTAATATACGTGCGGCAACACTTATTATAACCACAAGAGACTTGAGACTTGACTTGGACTCTAGCTCAGAGACTTGAGACTTGACTTGGGCTCAGAGACTTGTGAGCATCTCTGACACACAGTGGAACAAACCAACACAAAACGGGACAGACCAACTGGACAGTAAACGGGGGGGTTTGGGAACCGGATATTGAAGGCCTCAGTACTCCGGGGAAGGGGAGCGCTGGATCATGAGAGAAAGGAATTCAATATTCATTTTGCTCTTGTTCTTATTTCCTAGAAAGTAGTACAGTTAATATCAAACAGAAAATACTGTTTCATTTATGTTGATGCTGTGAAAGGTCCCAGTCCAATTGATCAGATTGATACAGGATATTATAAATAAACTCTTCTATGCAGCGGAGAACTTGTTGCCAGCTGTGAAACCTACAAGCCGACCGGCCGACACCTTCAACAACATGGTGAGTGAGTTTGGACAATCAGTCTTCTCTGTTCAAGGAGAAAAACTATGGCACTGTTTACCAAAAAATAAAAAATGCAAGACACTTTTAATAATCCGCAGAGAGCCTTCACATCTTCCACCACAAACTAAAGACACACCTCTTGAGACTCTACCTCGACTAAAAGACTAACAAATTATAGCACTTAAATTGTACTTATAATGCCACTTATCTATAGCAAGTTGTAAATTGGCTTATTTGAGGAAATTTGGATAAAAGCGTCAGCTAAATTACATGTAATGTAATGTTTTTAATAGAGGTATCAAATCATGGTGAAAAGAGAAGCAACATTGCTCTTACACCTAACATTCCTGGAAATACACTTGTACTTTGTGTACATATCAAAAGATGCAGCCTCCTGTGGATCGCTGTTGTAAATTAGCGTTTTGTTACAAACACAGTGCATCAAGTTATTGTGCATAAATGTATTTAACAATTCTAATGTGGCTGTGATTTCCATATTAAATGAGGTTGAGAATATTTTTTAAATGCACCAGAAGAAGAAGCTGAACACAAACAAAGACCATTCTCATCAATATCACTAAACACTTCTGACAGGACAACATCCTCGCTGCAGAGAAGCCTCCTGACGCTCCGAACCACGAGCTCGACCTCACCGACGCTTTGCTCAACAAAGATGAGTTCCTCTTCAACCCCTTCGACCAGAAGAAGGACGCTGTGTCGAGTGAGAACGACGCCTTTGTGTTTGGAGAGAGCACAAATTCTCCAGCCGCTGCAGGGTTCGCTGAGATAACCTTAGACCTGCAGAGAGAGAGTGAGCAAATCAGTTCCTGAGAAGTCAATCAATAACAGATTTATGTGTATAACAATGTGTTTCCTTTATGCTCTTCTGGTTTCCAGACGAGGGGAACCTTGAAGATGAAGGGTTTCTCGTGAGTAACGCCCCAGCAGGCAGTGACCTCGTCCCTCAAGGCAACCAGGTGAATCCTGGAAGATCTTCTGATCATCTGGGGCATCACGCTGCCTCCGAGGTCCCGCTGGACGACGGATCTGGCTCCAGCTCCTCAGGAGATGGGCAGGGTGCCGACCTGTCGTTCCGGCAGCCATCGGCCTTCTCCGACGAGATCCTATATGAGGACGGGGTCAGCAGCCTGGAGGCGTTACCGCCGCCAGACCTGGAGAACGAGGAGGAGGAGGCCACTGAGAATAAGGATGTAGCTTCAATGGAGTTTCAGTTCACCGTAGCTTCCCAATTACGGAAAGCTCCTGCTTTTGATGGACGCATTGAGGAGACATTTTTGGACCAGGATCTTGTGACTCCCCACATCAGAACAGACCCTCGGCACTCCACCACCAATGAAGCGCCAGTGTTCTCCCCCAAAAGAACCTTTGCTTTCGAACTGTTAGTGGAGGCATCTGGTATCCATGATGACGACTTCTTGACCAGACCACACACCCTTATGACTCCGGTCACAGACTCTTCTGAACTTGAACCCTGGACTCAAAAGATCCATGTTTTTGCAGGACCAACCAATTGGGGTTTGAAGCCTCCAGACATGACTGAAGATGTGAAAGCTACTACTGAAGCACCAGCAGAACTTTTAGCTGCTACAGTTGGGTCTGTTGAAGATCAACCAAAAATGGGAGAGTTTAAAGTCCCGGATAGTGAAACCCCCTCAACTGGAGAGAATCCTAACTTTGTAGAAGTCCACTCGAAACCAAGTTTTGACTCGATCAGCAAAGAGTCTCCTATCTTTTTAGAGGTCTACACAGAAGCAAGCTTTGACTTGATGACCAAAGAGTCTCCTACCTTTGTAAAAGTCCACTCTGAACCGAGCTTTGACTTCTTCACCAAAGAGTCTCTTCCCTTTGTAGAAGTCCACTCAGAACCTGTCTTTGACTCTACCACTGAAAATCAGGCAGAATTTCAGATATTCACTGAAACCTACCTGCTAACAGAAACTAAAGAAGAAGATAAGGTTGAGATCTTGGAAGAACAAGACATGGGCGGCACTGAACCCACCATAAAAACGGCGTCAGAGGTTGGTCTCCGCGACAAGCATCTGGTTGTGGACAAAATCATGGTTGTCCCGCTAACAGCTGCAGCTCCAGTCCTCACTTCCACCCTAAAGTCAGACTACAGCGGCAGAATTGCGCTCTCCCCTGAGATGGACTCACCGTTCACACGGGTGTCAGATTCAGCACCGGACGATGAAGAGCCGGTTCCCCACGAGCGCCTTAACCACGATGAAGAGTTTCTAATGAGCGGCCCGACGTCAGGTGTTCGACACTATACATCATCGCATCAAGGAGATATAATGTCTCCAGGAGCTTCAGCTCAGGATGAAAACACGTTAACCACCTCGACGAATACTTCAGAAAGTGAATCTAGCATCAAACCCCTCCACACAACGTCGTCCTCGCTTCAGGAGGTCGACCAAAACCCCCCAGCTGCCGAGGTCCAAGTCTTCGACCACGACATATCCGAAGTGCCGGGCATCAACGTCAGCTTCGATCTGTTCCAGTACGCCGGTGAGGTGGCCGAAGGTGACAGCAGCGGATTCTTCAGTGGGGCTCAGGTGTCAGATCCGGACGCCGTTGCCCTAAAGACCCGACCCGGCCATGCCCTGACTGTGTTCTTTAGCCTCAGGGTGACCAACATGGCGTTCTCCCTGGACCTCTTCAACAGGAGCTCGCCCGAGTACAAAGCCCTGGAGCACCAGTTCCTTCAGCTGGTGAGGCCTTAAAGTCACTGATGAATAAAAAGTTTTTCATCCACTTGTTCTAAACTTCTCAAGTTTTTACCTTCACCTCGCAGCTGGTCCCGCACCTTCAGTCCAACTTGAACAACTTCAAGAATCTGGAGATCCTCAATTTCAGGAACGGCAGCATCGTGGTGAACAGCAGAATGAGGTTTGGTAAGCCAGTTCCCCAAGGGGTCACCAACGTGGTGTACCTCATCCTGGAGGACTTTGCCAACACCGCCTACCAGACCATGAACCTGGACATCGACAAGTACTCGCTGGATGTGGAGTCAGGTGAGACGGAAGTAAAGTAGAGGGACAGTGGGGAGGGCAAGATCTCTGCAAGTTTCCATTAATATGTTCCTGCTTATATATATATATAGATATATATATAGATATATCATTTAGCTGACGCTTTTATCCAAAGCAACTTACAATAAGTGCATTCAACCATAGGGATACAAACTCGGAAGAACAATAAAGTGCAATTTCATCAAATAAGCCAATTTAAAACTTGTTATCGATAAGAGACATTATAAGTACAATTTAAGTGCCATAATTTGTTAGTCTTTTTAGTCAAGGTAAAGTCTGAAGAGGTGTGTCTTTAGTCTGAAGATGTGAAGGCTCTCTGTGGTCCTGATGTCATCAGAGAGCTCGTTCATTTAACAGCAGGACAGCAAAGAGTGGAGATCTAGTCGAGTGTTTTGCTCTCAGTGAGGAGGAACAAGCAGTTTATCACATGCAGAGCGGAGAGTGCGGGTCGGGATGTCGGGTTGGACCAGGTCCTGGATGTAAGCTGGATCCCATCCATTCACAGCACCGTACGTGAGCACCAATGTTTTGAGAATTTTGGAAGGTTAAAGGTCAGGCTGCTGCATTCTGGATGAATGCAGAGGTGGAATGGCAGTAGCAGGAGACCTGCAGGAGAGAGTTACAGTAGTCCAGGAGGGAGATGACAAGAGCCTGAATCAGTACCTGCGCTGCCTTCTGAGTGAGAAGAGGACGTGTTCTCCTGATGTTGTAGAGCATGTATCTACAGGATGTTGTCAGTGATGTTGGGAGTCAGGGAGAGTCGGCTGTCGAGTGTCACGCCGAGGTTCCTGCAGTCAAAGTGGGCGTTAACACAGAGTTACCAAAGTTAACAGTCAAGTCCTGTGTAGGAGAATCTTTTCCTGGAACGAGAAGTAGTTCAGTCTTGTCGGGGTTGATTTTCAGATGGTGAGACATCCACGTCTCATCCATGTCAGTCAGACAGGCAGAGAACCCCTAACCCGAGTGAGGGAAGAAGAGAATTAGTTGGGTGTCATCGGCACAGCTGTGGTAGGAGAAGCCATGCGAGCGAATGACAGCGCAGAGAGAGTTGGTGTAGTGCGAGAAGAGGAGGGGACCCAGGATGGAACCCTGTTATATATATATATACATATACACACACTACATATAATATACAATACAGTACTACAGCGATTCCCAAAGTGTAGGCCGTGTAAGTAAAGTTTTTTAATTTTCAATTTTTAAAAGTTTGAAATTGATATAAAATGATTTATGATGCGGCACATTAGTTATGTGAAACATTAGTTGATGAAGCACAAACAATTTAAAGGGACAGATTAATAAAACAATAATAATTATCGAAATCCAAACGGCTGCTCTTGTCCGCCTGTCGTTGTTCAACAAACGCGGCGCCGTCTTGTAGTATTAAAGTAAATATACCGTATTTTCCGCACTCCAAGGCGGACTTAAAAGGCTTTAATTTTCTCAAAAAACGACAGTGCCTTATAATCCGGAGCGCCTTATATATATGGATGAATTGGTTAATCGGTTGATCCATACTGGTTGTACACGGCGCTCAAGGCGTTCTGCCAAACATACCAAAGCTCGTCTACAACGGCGAGATGCTGAGCGGCGCTCAAGCGCGTGAGATACGGAGCTGCTTTCAGGGCACGTCGGAGAAACAAAGCTGTCGTTCTCGCCGACCACTTCATGAGATTAAAGAGCGAGAGACGCGCCCTTTTCTCTACAGGACGCATCTCGCAGCATCGATCGGACCCTGAAAGCACCGTCTCCACCTTACTGTCAAAAAGAACAACAGCGAGCGCGTAGAAAACTCCTTCGAGCGCGAGCAGAGATTCTCCTCGCGAGCAACGAAGTTCACGTTTCGCAAGCGAGCAAATACCTTGCGGAGACAAACTTTTGCTCACGCGAGACGGACCTTTGCTCACGGATGTTTGATTTTGGTTCTATTCTTAAGGACATTTAATCATTATGTTTTGATCAGAGTTGTGATTAAAGGTTTGGGTGGGCCGCGGCATTCTTGAGTTTGGGAACCGCTGACTTAGAGCATTGAACATATCGAGAACATGACCATGTTCACGTAGTTCTATTCCACGTTGATCATTTTGTTAATTCTCTGCCTCATACGAAACTCTATACTCTATACTACATTACATATATACACTACATTTACTCAGGTACTTGTACTGCTTCACAAGTATTCAACAAATTTAGATACTTTACAAGTAAATTCAAGTTGTGATCCTGGGTCAGTCACAGTGAGTCTGGTTACAGATCCTGTCCTGAGGTCTGATTCTAGAATCTGGTCCTGGTGTTGAACCTTGTGTCTGGTCCAGGAGGGGTCCTGTACCTTCTAACTGACTGGCAACCAGTGGAAGAGCAAGCATTCAGATCAGAGCCATCAGAACAGTTTATATCCTTCAAACCGTCCCATTTCTTTTCTACCACCAAATCCGCCCCCCAGGTGACCGGGCGGACCCCTGTAAGTTCCAGGCGTGTAACGACTTCTCCCGGTGTCTGGTGAACCGCTGGTCCGGGGAGGCGGAGTGTGTTTGTGCCGCCGGGTACCTGAGCGTGGACGGTCTGCCGTGTCGGAGCGTCTGCGAGCTGCAGCTCGACTTCTGCCTCAACGATGGCAAGTGTGACATCATCGCTGGCAAGGGCGCCATCTGCAGGTGAGGGGGTGTACATGAATTGATTATGAGTTACAAATACAGTAGAGCAGAAGTCTCCAACCTTTTTTGCATCACGGACTGGTTTCATGTCCGGCAGTGGTCCACGGGCCTGTGTTTGGGGACCACTGCAATAGAGGACTTTGATACGTTTGTTGTTTATTCAACATTTATTTATCCTTCTTGTCATTGCATGCAACAACAGGGGACTATGGTTTTATTATGAATTATTTTGTTATGAACCACCAAATAAGAAAAAACAACCTGTCCACAATGAATGTTATATGGTCAACACGTGGTAATGTTACATCTTTACAATACTCCTCTGATACAGTTGTTACTATTAGAAATGTATGAAAGTGTTAACTTTAAGCATCAGGTGTGATACTTTAAACTTTGTTCAGAGCTTCATTCTGCACTTTAAAAGTATTCATTAGATCCTCCAGTCTGTGCCTGAACCAGTGACCGCTGCTGCAGGTGCCGGGTCGGAGAAAACTGGTGGTACCGCGGTGAGCACTGCGAAGAGTTTGTGTCCGAGCTCCTGGTGGTCGGCATCGCTGTGGCCTCGGTGGCGGGCTTTCTGGCGGTGGCAGCCGCCATCATTTTTTTCCTAGGGAGGACGCTGCGGGACCAGTACGATGGCGGCGACACAGAGGACCCACTACGGTTAGTCGGTACGCCGTGATGGGTTGGTTCTGATCCAATTGTCTGTGAAGGTGACGCCAGCGTGTTTCTCTGCAGGCGGGGTGACTGTGGGCCGACGCTGAAGCAAGCGGACAAGCTCAACACTGCCTTTGAGGGTGAGCCGGTCAGCGCCCGGTACTACCGTCGCTATGACGACAGGCCGCGGCACAGCAGCTCCACAGGCACCGGACGGCCCCTGGACCTCAACGCTGACGAGCTACAGCAGATCTACCAGAACGCTGCGCTCACCAAGGAGGTCCTCTATTAGCTTTTTACTATGAGCATATCGATAGTAATATACTCATATCATCATCTTCTTCGGTCTTTGGCCTCAAGGCATGCCTTAACATGTTTTCTGACCTTTGACCCTCGTCCCCGCAGGAGGTCCAGGAGCGCCTCAGGGTCCTCGAATTGTGTGTCAGAGATCAACAATTTGCAGACTTTGTGCGACAGACTCAAGTGTGAGTTAAACATTTTAAAGTTTTAATGTTTTAATGCTTTGAGATCCAAGGCCACCAAACTGATCTGGTCTGATCTTGTTTTGTGGATCAGGTTCCTGGAGAGGAGAGAAAGCTGCACCACATAGTTAGTCCAGATCTGCTGACCAAGGTCTGCGTTCTCTGAGACACACTCAGGACTCGTCTCCACAGATCTCTGCCTTCTACTCGACTGAAGGTGACGAAATGGTCACCTGCCGCCTGTCCTTCTCACCTTCACCAGTAAATACGCGTTGTTTGCTTTTTAATGCGTCGGTCCGTGCTCACTACTCTTCTTCGTCTCCTCTGAGAACCTCTGTCTCACGTGGTGGAATGGCTCATGGCTTAGCTTCATCTGGTGGGCTTCTTTTGGACCTAACCCTAACCCTAACCTGCTACTGGAGCTCCAAACTCCTCGCTGGAGCCCCAACCACCTCGCTCGAGGTCATAACACCTTGTTAAAGGTCAACACCTCAGAGGAGGTTCTAGCAACTGCTGGAGGTCTGACTCAGCATTCTTCTTCGTCAGTGCCTTCACCGCTCTGCTAGATTCCACGCGTAAACTCTCAGAGCTTCACTTGATTAAAAACCACCATGTTTACGTTTCATTAAGGATGCTGTGTGAGCTCTTGAAGAACTCTTGAAGAACTCTTAAAGAACTACTGTAGAACTTCTGAAGAACTCGTGAACTATGTATTTTATGTTTTGTATTTCTTCACCAATCAGAAACCTCATTCTGATTATTGAAATGTTTGTCTGATGGTTGGAGAGGTCTGATTCTCATTTCAGTTCCAATGCAAAGAACCTGAAATATTCTGGACTGTAGATCAAATCTATGATGTTTCCCAACATGACAAACCTCTGACTAACCAGTTAGTTAAGTCTTTGTTTATCTTCGTTTGTTATTTTCTTTTGACTTTAGGGACTAAAAGTTCAAACTGTGACGTGTAAGTGAACCCTCATGTTTTTATAAAAAAATAAAGACAATTATTTTTACAGAAACATTACAGCCCCACAGTTTTATTTATTAGTAGTTATTACTAGAAACTATTTTTTTGGAAGGGGGGGGCAGTAGATTATTTGGCCCTTGACCATGCAAATGTAGTATTTAAGTAAATATGTAACTGAAGTACATCAGGATTCCAACTGGAAAGTAGAGTAGATAGTGAAGTAAGGGTTTTGATCCTCGTCTAAGGCTACCGTACCTTCTGAGTAAAGCTAACCTTGTAGTTTTATTATTTTGGCCATTTTGTAGTTTGCAGCGGAATTCAAGAACGAACAAAGGTAATTTATTTTTATTTTAGTGGATTTCTTTTCATTCCTACTGTTTTCCTTGGTGTTTTATTATGAAAGCATAATTTCTTTCATCCCGACTTCCTACCGGCCATGGACACATGCCCTCATAATTCTTATTTCAAATACAGTTTCACATACACTTACAGTAAATTTGTGTGGTGTATCTGCTTCATTGTGCACAATGTTATATTATCTTTCTGTGTTTTTCACTATGTACATTTATCCTGTCTTATTCTCCAATGTATGTACCACCCGCCATGACAAATTACTTGTATCTATAACATACTTGGCGAATAAATGGTTGTTATTCTACATTTGTTTTCCATGTTTTAAAGGTTTTTCACGTTTTTCTGTATTATTGCTTTGTTTTTTTTTACCTTTTAATTTTTAATTTTTTTTTGTTTCTGTCTTCCTCTTATCTGTACGTTTACCTTACTTAGATTTATATTGTAAAGCGTCTTTGGGTACCAAGAAAAGTGCTATAAAAACGTAAAAAGTATTTTAAAAAAAATATATAAAAGTATTGTTATTATTACTCGATCCTCCTTTTGAGTTCATGTTTGCTTCCATAGCGACGATGAAGATATTTTAACAACAGAAATGCAAGAAGTTCTTTACTCGTCTTCAGGCAGGGTCAAATCCGGGAGATTGGTCCAACAGGTTCAAAGTCCGAAGAATCCAAAAAGGGGCACGTAAGACCTTGACGTGGAGTAGTCAGCCAAACAGGGTCGGAACAGGCCGATAAGGCGCATTAACAGGAAACGCTGACGAGTTTGGCAGTAACACACAAGTCAATCTGGCAGAGGGCGAGCGTGAGTGAGGGAACCTTATAGTGAGGGACTGATGAGGGAATGGGCTGCAGGTGAGAAGGACGTGAGACTGTTGACGACTGTTGGACTACAATATCCTTGATCCTCAACTTCCTTCTGAGAATTACAACATTTCCCACAATGCCTTTGGACCCTTGATGTGGGGTCAGCGGGTTGGTTCACCAGAGCCTGGTCCAGGTTCTGCCAGTGTTTTCTTTGTTCTTGGCCTAGTTGTTCCTCTGATGATTACTGCTAACTAGCTAGCAGTAGCTAACTGCCAACGGCTTCCTCCTGACAGCTAACCGCTATTTGCCACGTGTTCTCCCATCATGAACTAACGGTAACAAATTTTTCCCTTTTTATTCTTAGTCTTATTAACTTCCTTATGTTTATATGTGTAATGTTTGCTCATTCTTGATGCAGAAAAATTAGTTCATGCGTTTGTCACTTCCAGACTGGACTACTGTAATTCTTTGTTATCGGGCCGCTCTTGTAAATCTTTTAAGCCTCTCCAGTTGATTCAGAATGCTGCAGCACGTGTATTAACAAGAACTAAGAAAAGGGATCATATCACTCCTGTATTAACTTCTCTGCACTGGCTCCCTGTTAAATCAAGAATAGATTTGAAGGTACTTCTCCTCACCTACAAGGCACTTGCTGGTGGGGCACCATCGTATCTTAAAGAGCTTGTAACACCTTATTGCCCTACAAGGCAGCTGCGCTCCATAGATGCTGGTTACTTGTTGTTCCTATGGTTTTAAAAAGTAGGCTGGGGGCCAGAGCCTTCAGTTATCAAGCTCCTCTTTTGTGGAACCAGGTTCCACTTTCAGTCCGGGGGGCAGATTCGGTCAGCTCTTTTAAAGTAAAACTTAAAACGTTCCTCTTTGATTGTGCCTATAGTTAGGGCTGGCTCAGGTTAGCCCGGACCAGCCCTTAGTTAAGCTGCTATAGGCTTAGACTGCTGGGGGACTTCTTAGGACACACCGAGCTCCTCTCTCACGCTCTCGTTCTACAATAATTCACGTTTTATTAATGCACATGACTAATTCAGCTTCTTTCCGGGAGTTGTTTTTGTGCTTTCTCCCCTAGCAGGTCTCCGTAGATCGTAGTTCCCTCTGGAACCTGGTCCTGACACCTGCCGTGGCCCTGCTGACGCCTGCTGCTGCCATCATCATCATCATCATTATTATTTTAGATATTAATCATATTACTGTACTCATAAACCAACATTACCCTCTCCTAAAGTCTCTGTGCTCTCCCTCCCCACAGGCTTCTGTAGATGGTGGTTCTATCTGATGGTGGTTCTATGTGGTGGTGGTTCTATGTGATGGTGGTTCTATCTGATGGTGGTCCTATCTGATGGTGGTTCTATGTGATGGTGGTTCTATCTGATGGTGGTTGCCCCTGCAGTGGTCCTGCTGTGCGCCTGGTTTACTACTCACAGTTACTTGAATCATTTCTGTCATATAATTCCATGTATTATACATTGTTCATTCTGTACACATGACATCATTGTAGTCTGTCCATCAGGAGTGGGATCCCTCCTCTGACGTTCTCCCAAAGGCTTCTTCCCTTTTTTCCCTCTTGGAAGGGTTTTTTCATTTTTTGGGGGAGTTTTTCCTGTGCCGATGGTGGGTTTCGGGACAGAGGATGTTGTATGTGTACAGACTGTAAAGCCCTCTGAGGCAAATTTGTAATTTGCGATTTTGGGCTATACAAAATAAAATGAATTGAATTGAATTAAAATGCTAGCATGCAAGCAGGCTAACTCTCTCACAGAAAAAAGTGATCCACATGTTCCTGGTCTTGCTGGTCTCTGAGAGGGAGGGGGGGGTGGGGGGTGTAAGGCCCAAACGCCGGCCGACATCTTCCCAATGCTTTCTCAATCCTATATATCAGCGGTTCTCAAACTCAAGAATGCCGCGGCTCAACTTGAAATCTGAAAATCTTTCGTGGGCCACCCAAACCTTTTAATCACAACTCTGATCAAAACATAATGATTAAAAGACCTTAAGAATTTAACCAGAATCAAACATCCGCGAGCAAAAGTCCGTCTCCGCGAGGTATTTCCTCGCTTGCGAAACGTGAACTTCGTTGCTCGCGAGGAGAATCTCTGCTCGCGCTCGAAGGAGTTTTCTACGCGCTCGCTGTTGTTCTTTTTGACAGTAAGGTGGAGACGGTGCTTTCAGGGTCCGATCAATGCCGTGAGGTGCGTCCGCTCCCGCCGCCCCCCTCGCCATCCACGCCTTAAATCTTTGGCTGCTTTTACAATAACTTATTTTCCCCGTTAAGATGGTTCAGCTACTGTAGAGAAAAGGGCGCCGTCTCTCGCTCTTTAATCCCATTATGTACTCCGCGCCTTGAGCGCCGTGTACAACCAGTATGGATCAACCGATTAACTAATTGATCCATATATATAAGGCGCTCCTGATTATAGATGAAGCTACGGGAGTATTAGTCATGAATTAGTGTTATAGATTAAACACAGGTACAGGAGTATCAAAGTTGTGAACTAATATTATAGAATGAACTACCAGCAGCACTGAAGTAATACAAAGTTATGTTTTTTATAGATTAAACAGTTTGTGATTTTTTTCAGTTGAGCTCTTGATGATAACAAACTTCTGCTGGTTCTGGTTTTGCTGGTCCATTAAAATTGAGCTCTAATTGTAAAATGGACTTGTTGACAGTCAATAGGCTTAGGGGATAACTGCGCCCCGTTAGACCCGTTTTCCCCGTTAGCCTCATTAGTTCTGTTATCCCTGTTAGCCTAGTTAGCCTCGCTATCCCTGTTAGCTTTGTTTCTCTAGACCCAGTGAGTTCAGGAATTACTTTGCTCAGGGCGACAGGTTGACGCTTTTTAGCAGCTGAAACGCTTCACTGTGACACTTCAAACGGTTTCTGCAGCCTGAAAAAAACCTACACCTCATCATCTGACTGAAGGAGTTCATTTTCCTTCTATTCCAGACACCGGGACATGATTACTATTTTTGTTTTAATTACCAACAACCACAAAGTGAACAGGACATTGTGTCCTCCTAAGCTTAACTTGTATTTTTTTAGGGCTGTCAATAGATTAAAATTAAAACAAATAGTCGCAAAGGTTTTTTTTTTCTTCAATTGCACAGATTAACACGTTCATTTTGACAGCCCCTAGTATTTCTGGTTGTTTTGTGTGTATGTGTGTGTTTGTGCGTTGACCCCCGAGTTTTTGAATTTGTATGTATTAAACAGTTTAATAGTTTATTGATTGTTCATGTTTGTTCTTTCTTTGTTACTGTTACGAAGGACGCTCCCGCACCGCCTCTCTCTCGCCATCGGAGGGACCCCTCTCCCGAGTACTAACTGGTTTCGAACTCCATCTCCCATCATGCTTCACACCTGGGACTGATTCCACAACACCACTGATGACACACACACCTGCACCTCATTGACACACACACCTGCACCTCATTGACACACACACAAAAGCCACTGACACCCACACACTCACTGCGAAGTCTTGATTCTGCCCCGGCTGTCATTTCTGAGCGTTTCCTCCTAGTCTTGATCCCTGTTTAGTGACCCCGGACCGTACTGCTGATTGCTCTCTGCCTGCCCCGACCCCTGCCTGCCCGTTGACTACGATCCTGTCTGCTCTACGTTGCCCTGTCTGCTGTCATTGACTCTGCCTGTCTGATGCTCTAATAAAGACCTGCGAATGGATCCCTCCGAATCCGGCGTTTCCTTACAGAAGACTTCGCCGCTCACAGATCCAGCAGGCCTCGTACACCTGTCCTCGGAGCTCTCCGCTCAAGCCACCCAGCTGGCCCAGCACCACCATCAGCTACAGCGTCTGACCACCCTCACCGAGGAACTAGTGCACGCACTACCCGGGCTACGGGTATCAGCAGACGCCACGCCACCGAATCCTCCTCCCAATGCCTCCCCAGCGACCGTAAACCATTCTATTAATCCTCGTCTGGCTCTTCCGGAGAAGTTTGATGGCACTGCTGTAAAATGTAGAGGCTTTCTTCACCAATGCACACTCTTCGTCGACCAACAACCCTCGATGTATCCAACGGATTCGAGTCGGATAGCTTTCATCAGCTCGCTACTCACCGGGAGGGCGTTGGAGTGGGCGACCGCCGTCTGGAGACCCGACGGATCCGCGTTCCCCACATTCACCAACTTCCTGCTACAGTTCCGCAACGTGTTCGAACACCCCACTGAATGCGGGGATGCCGGGGAGCAGCTGCTCGAGCTAACTCAGGGGGAGGAGAACCGCAGCTGAGTATTCTTTATCTTTCCGCACACTCGCTGCACAAACCAACTGGGTCGAGGACACACTGAAGACCCTGTTTCGCAAAGGTTTGTCTGCCCGAACTACAATCGGAGCTGGCCTGTCGGGACGAGGGAAGAGGGTTGGACGAATACATTAACCTGGCCATTCGAATCGACAACTTGATTCGTTCACGGCGTCCTAACCGGTATCCACCCCGGCTCACACGGGAGACCTCCGCCAC